GAGGAGCAGGTACCTGATGGCAAGGAGAAGGAGGAGCAGGTACCTGATGGCAAGGAGAAGGAGGAGCAGGTACCTGATGGCAAGGAGAAGGAGGACGAGCAGGTACCTGATGGCAAGGAGAAGGAGGACGAGCCTAAGGGAGAAGAGTCTGTGAAGGAGACGGTAGAGGAGTCTGAGGATGCTCGACAGGAGGAGGAGAAGGTGAGAAAACAAAAAAGTTGAAACAAATATTAAAGCCAAAAGTGATTCCTGGAATTAAACCGAACTGCACACAGGTTACCGATGATGTCACTAATGACACACCTGGAGACACGGGTGAGGTAAAGCAGGAGGCCGAGTCAGAGCCACAAGCAGAAACCTTGGCCGAGGAGCACAAGGGCAAAGGGGAGATGAACATGGAGGCGGCAGAGAGCTCGGAGGCTCCAGAGGCAGCGGAGGGAGATCTACCCGAAGAAGAGGTGATGCACCTGCTCTGTCCTTCAGTCTGTAATCCAGGAGTGGCACAGGTGTGTTAATGATGTCTCTTCCAGCAGGACTTCCCAGAGAACATGGAGGACTTTGTGACGCTGGACGAGCTGGAGGAAGACAACGACGAAGCCCATGGAGAGTCGGACAACATCGGTACCTGATCAGATCAATATTTAGAGATCAAAGTTAACACTTGTACCTGTAATGTGCTGCAGCACCAGCTTTTCCTTAAAAAGTCATTTTCCTTCATGGATGTGAGGACGATGTCTTCAATCAACAAAAAGGTGTTTGAAATTAACGCACATCTTCCTCTCTGTTTGTGTCTCCTCTTCTCTGCAGACAACACGAGGCGAGGGGTACGTACCCGAGCGCCGTCGCTCTGATACCTTTAATATTTGACTTCATGTTTCTGTTGATCACTGCATCTCAAGAATCTCAGTTTTTCACTTTATTAATACATTTGAAATATTTTGACCTTTTCTGTGGTCTATTGTTTTACAACTGAAGGGTGGAGAGCTCATTGGTGAATTAATGACTCCCTCAAGTTGAATAGTTCAAATAGTTTGTGAGTGAGGGGAGATTGACAAAGTTCAACTGCAATTGAACTTTTGATTCACAATAACTTTAGTTTTATATGAAATTGCACTACTTTCGACATTTTATGAGATTTCCAACATAACCTGTGTTCAGAAACCTGTTTTCATTCACTCTGTTTCACTGGAATTCCTCAATTCTTGCTCCTCCCATCAGGGTATGAGGGTGGTGAACATCGTCGGCTTCAGGCGAGGGTACCAGTACCTCAACGAGCTGCTGAAACTCGCCCAGCCTTTCGGGAAGGTGGTCAAACACCTGGTGCTGGACCTGAGACCCGAGGTACTCTGTTCAGTGTTAAGTGAAAGTTTAATCCTGGACATTTGTATCACACCAGTAAAGCAACTTTTTCAAACATCAGTTGAAAAATGTTCCAAATGCAAATTTGGAGAAGTGGTAAATATAGAAGTGGTAAACGAACCTGCATCCAATTGAAGTAGTTGGATATTTCCTGAAAAGTATTTTTGAATATCGCATTGTCTCCTCTCCCTCGTCAGGCGTTCCTTCAGTTTGCTACAGAAGAAGAAGCACGGGCGATGGCCAACTTCTACAACGGGAACATCACGGCGTCAGTGTGCGGGCGGACGGTGAAGATCAGTCACTCCATGAGCTACCCCACCATCCAGGTGATTTATTTAAATTTTTTTAACCTCCATGTTATGTTTTCATCTGATTTATTAATTTCTACAAAATTTGAAACCTGAGAATAAGGTTTGTGTCTAAAATGTTCTAAATACATACACCTTAGCCAGACTGCAGTGGTCATTGGTTAAAGCTAAAATATAAAAAATAAATAAGTAAAATTATCTTTGAGCAGTCATTTAAAACAAACCCCAGATTCAGCTGTTCCAATGTTTACGAGCTACAACCTCGAAGTGTGATCGGCTCTGGATTTACAATAAGATCATGGATCAATTAAAAGATTCTGATCAGATGATCAAACTGCTGTTTTAAGGTTTCAGCAGGTCTGCTACATAAGCAGATGCCTGGCTGTGTTGGGCTTTATGTTTATAGTAAAACTAAAATGAATTGTGACTTACACTGGAATTCGGTGACAGGAAGCAGGATCAGAGAAGATGTGGATGTTATTAGTGTTCCAGATTATTGTGGGCCAGTAAAAATGTGATATTTGTGACATTTGTCAGATAAAAGAAACACGACCGTATGAGGACAGTCGGTGTTTGTTTTCTTCTTTGTGGGCTCATTTTCTCTGTGTTTGCTGTTCAGTCCGGTTCCAGCAAGGTGGTGTACATCGGGCAGATCCCCAACAGCAAATACACGGACGAGGAGGTCCTGAAGCTCGCCGAACCATACGGGAGGGTCAAGAAGTACTTCCTGAACAGGATCCGGAGAGAGGTACGGAACTGGGACAAATGCACGTCCGACCTGAATCCACATAACTCCTGCTGCTTTAAAGCCGTCTGATGCTTGTCCTCAGTGTTTCCTCGAGATGTGTAATGCCGAGGACGCAGAGAAGATGGCTGCCGATTATAAAGCGAAGCCACTGAGATTCAGCGGGAAGCGCCTGACCCTCTACGTGAGCAGGAAGTACAAGCAGCTCAAACACGGGTGAGTTTCTTCTTTTTCTTCTTGTGTGCTCGCTGCACGAGTCTGATTTATTAGTTTCTCTTCACAGCAGCAGTCATCTTCAGGCCTTTTATCTAAATGTAAACCTGGAGATGACACCTGTCTTTTACAGCTTGTGGATGTACTTTGCTTTAAGCTGAAGCCTCTGAACCCCTCAATCACGTCTGTCCATTAAGCCATAGAGTGCCGAACACCAAGAAGAGAGCGAGCGAGAGCCCGCCACTAAAATCCTCCCATGACAGCGAGGAGCCTCCAGGGAAGAAGCCCAAAGAGGAGGTCAAACAAGAGGAAGAGGAGAAAAAGGAGGAGGAAGTGCAGAGCTGTGAAGTCAGTGGTGAAGAGACGGTGATGGATGAAAATTTGGGTGCTGAGAAGCTGAAGGACAGCGAGGACGTGAGTCGTTTGTACAGCTCGTTATTGAAACGTTCAATCAAAGACGACTTCGGTGACATCGAATTTATTTAAACATCTTTCCATCAACTGACCAGATATTTGAGCTAATTGCTAACATGCTAACAATGGGGAAACTTTGTTTTTAAATTTTGATTTGAAATAAAACAGGTAAACAAGACGAATCTTTTGTTTTTCTCTTTTATTTTCGCAGATGGAGACATCGACTAATCAGAATGAGCAGACAGAGGCTGTTCCTGTCGCTGCGAACAAAGCCAGCACGGCGTCTCTGCCCCTGCCGCTGTACGATCCCTCCACACCCATCGGTGAGAAAGCTTCGCCAGGTCATCGTCAGGTTCACGTCAAAAAAAACTCGCCGTCATCATCGTCATTGTTACTATTTCAGGTATCGAACACGTGAAGGCGGGGTTTTACTGCCGCATCTGTTTCCTGTTTTACTCCAACGAAGACACGGCGAAGAAGATGCACTGCAGCAGCCAAGCTCACTACAACAAGCTGCAGGTGCCCACATAATGATACACCTTAGACCAAGCCACATTATAACATACCTGAAGTACATATGCGACACTGCCCCGCCCACATTACAGCATATGTTTGTTTTCAGAAACACCTGGAGAAGGAGCAGAGCAAAGCAGAGAAGAAGGCGCTGCCGACCTGAGAACACCTGAAGCTGAGGAAGAGACGTGAATGTCAGATTTTTTTTTTAAGGTTTTAATTTTGTTTCTTTAGCCATGTGTGAAACACACATCTGAGTGACTTCCTGCTGCTGCTCTGTGGGCTTAAAGCCTCAAAGACTCTGTTATTGATTAGTTATGTTATTGATTAGACAAAACAAAATGTTGACCAAACAGTATAAAAACATTTTGCCGGTTCAGGTTTTTCCTTTGATTTTTGAAACATCTGGTTTTTCAAACTAACATCTGAACAATAAATTATTTTTTTAAGACTCATAGATGTGAATATTTGTTTAACGTCTGAAACGGACTTGATTTTGTTCTTGGTTTCTCAATAAAATGTGTTAGAATTTTGTTAAAATAGACATTTTTATCGTGTATTTTTATTTATTTAGGGTTAGCTTTTTTGTAGTTTTTTGTTCCAAAAATAATAAAAAGATTTTTTTTTTTTCATTCAAAGACATCAGTTTTTCTTTGATAATTTTCAGTTTCAGTACCACATAAAGGGGAAAAAATTGTACTTCTGCATGAGGCAGCATGTGGTTGGCTGGGCTTCCACTGTAATCTACCCGGTTGATCAGGTGATCCATCTACCTGGATTATTTTCTGCCAGGTAATCAACCTCATTCTCTCAACAGTTTTCCTCACTACCTTCCTCTAGTTTGACTGATGCTGCTGTTCAGAAAAACAAGATGTTTAAGCAGAAATAAGTAAACCCGTGAAGCTAAAATAAATGTGAACGAAGGAGATTTATTTCCTTTCTCCTCTTATTTTTTATTATCCTAAAATTACAAAAAGATGACATTCAAGATGATGTATTTAAATGATGTATTTAAAACTGGCTGCAGATTTTTGAGCTTTCATACAAACTGAACAGACACCTTTTGTTTGATCGTTACATTCAGACACGTGATCGTACTGAGACGTACCATTAAACGGAGCACGGGGGGAGAGTCCATTGTTTAAACTTTATTCACAAGCCCTAACTGTCCTTCCAGCTCTTCGGTCTTGCTGATGATAAGAGTAGTTTAATTAACTAGTAATAAAGACAGAAGAACTTGCCGAGCCCTCTATTTGCACTAGAAAGAAGAAAAAGAACCGCGAAGAGCGGAGAAACCTCAGTAAAACCCGCTGTGAGTTGAGACGAAATATCGCGATACTTCGTAGTGTGCGGTTGTCTCTCACGCAGGCTCATAAATAACTGATCTAAAAGGTTTTGGAGAAAGGGTAAGAGCGTCTGTGTCTACAGATTAATCCTCATTATACACGTTATATATTAACAGCTTCATGTACAGTTTGCACGTTAAATGTCAGATAATTGAAGGGTTTTACCTATTCTAGTGTTAGCATGTAGCAGGCGACGTGTGTTAGCAATGTTAGCTACCTTAGCTACACAGCTTGTCTGAGTCATTGTCGGTCTGCTTTTACTCACTTTTGGACGCCTAGTTTTAATTATCTATGCTTTTAGTTAAAACATGTCAGGCTAAACAGAGTAGTGTTTATGGATGATATTAGCGCATTTAGCTTAGTTTAGCTGTTAGCCCCTCCCCCGTAGGCGTGTTTGCTGCAGCTTTCCTTCTCCTCTCACTGTACCTGCACAGATGTTACTCCTGGTCTGTGTCAGGCTGTGATTCACTCAGAGGCTCGTTGTAATCTCGCCTCTTGTCGATGTTTTCGTGGACTCAAAGTTTCTCTTCCTCAGTGAGGAGGTCTCCATCACTCTGTTTGCATCAGATCATGTTCCTCCTGCTGGGCTGAGGTGAATCTTTCTCTCTCTCCTCCTTTAACCGCCTCCTATGTTCCCTTTGCAGTAAAGATCAGAGTCGTGCTCCTCCGTCTGTTGCTCAGGGCCTCCACTGGCTCCTGTTTTCTTAGGAGAGGCTTTGTTTGAAGCTTTTTCTACCTCATTGTGTCTCAGCAGAAATAAGACTTGCCACCACAGAAGAAAAGGAGCTCCTGCTCTCTTTGACCACATTAAGTTCCTGTCATCTTTGAAGACCTTTCCAGCGCCTGTTTCCTTCTTTATCTTGGCTCTCTGTGCTGAATCCAGAGAGCGGGACAGACTTTTTGATATCATGTCTCAGAAGACGCAGGCTGA